AAAGCTGAAGTGCCGAGACCAATATTTGCAAATGATGGCTGAAGTATGGTAGTAGGACATGTTAGACTACTAAGCTAACAGGCAGGTTTTATGCATATTCTATGGAGTGTGTCTGCATTTGAGGAGAGGTCCAAAGATTAATGTGGTGACTGTGTAATATCCCATCAAATTGTGGAGGGTTGAAGTTAGATACTACAAGGAAATGTAAAAATTTTTTTTTTTTTCAAGTCCTTGAAGCAGTGAAAGAACAAGATATTTCCCATATGAAATGCACATGGATGTTTAATGTTACAGGTGTATTCATTGACTATAGTGTTTATTGGTTTGCATAAATTCTTTCATAGAAAAATTGCTTTAGATTGGTTTTTATAAATACTATTTTGTGAGCTGTGACAAATGTTCTCATAACACATAGGAGCAAGTGATAAGACAAGAGGAAATGGCGTCAAGTTATACCAGGGTATTAGGTTGGATATTAAGAACAAGTTCTTCATAGAAAGGGTTATCAAACATTGGAACAGACTGCCCAAGGAAGCTGTGGAGTCACAATCCCTGGAGGTATTTAAAAGACAGGCAGATGTGGTGCTTAGGGATGTGGTTTAGTGGTGCTGTTGGCAGTGTTAGGTTGATGGGTGGACTTGATGATCTTCAACTCCCTTCCAACCTAGGTGATTCTTTGATTCTATAGGATGGTAGATTTAGACTAAATCTAAGGAAGAAATCTTTTACCATGAGGGTGGTGAAATACTGGCACAGGTTGCCCAAAGAGGTGGTAGATGTGCCATCCCTGGGAACATTCAAGGTCAGGTTGGATGGGGCTCTGAGCAACCTGCTCTAGTTGAAGATGTCACTCTTCGTTGCAGGAGGGTTGGACTAGATGACCTTTAAAGATCCATTCTAACCCAAACTATTCTGTTTCTGTAAGATAAAAAAACCCATCACAATGCAAGGGTTTAAAGCATTATTATTTGGGAAAAGTTTATTACAAATAGATTAAAAAATATGTATATGTACCCAGATATTGGGACAAAGCTGTTTTGTCAGAAATAAGGAATTACTATGCTTTTTGTAGCAATTTTTTCCAAATGTTTGGTGATACTTTCATGGTGAAAGGTTTCTGTCCTTGGCCACTTGTTTATATTTTTCAGTATGGGCAAATGAGCCAAGCTAAATAAGTCACTTTAAAAGCTGTGAGGTGGGTATTGGTATCCTAAACAGAGATTTGGTGCTCCAAAATGAAACTTTGCAGTAGTGTTTTCCTGAAGTCCGGTGGACTTTTTTCTATGCTATGCTAAACTCACTGTGTTCTTTATACTCTCTTACATCAGTTTTGTTTATAAAATGCACTCTTAAAGGTAGCAAGCTGAAGAAACCTCCATGCTAAGCATTTTCTTCCTCTTAGAACTTTTAAAAAAATTGAAAATAACTCATTAACTTGCCCTTTTATCTTTTCTATTATGGCCTTTTAAATACAGGCCATTCAACCATGATGTTGCCTGATCTCTGGAGGAGCAGGGGAGGATCTCTCACCCCATGGACCTTGCCTGAGGATTCACAGAGTCTAAGTTACCCAGTTCCTAAGCCTACAGTAGCATTTTTTTAAGTATTTCCTGGACATGATCACCATGATATTTTAGTATTTAGTATTTGTATAGAGATCTCTAGGTCAGTAATAAGTGATATAAATTGTGACACTGAAAAAATGTTTTCATGTAGCCGTTTTTTTAGCTTAAAAAAAAAAAAAGGATGTTTGCTCAGGCATACTCCTGTGAATTGCAGAACGACTTAGAGAGTTTCTTGATTAGTTTACCAGAGTAAGATTCTTAGGGGGCATCTACTCAGACTTCAGTCAAACTTACATATGAATATACCAAATGAGACTTGTTGCATCTCTTGCCCTGAGCCTGTGCACAGCAGAACGGGATTTGCCTCGTGACTGAGCAGCTGAAGTAATTGACTAAATCATGTCTGGTGCTTTGTCATCTTTTCTAGTTTCTGCAGTTTGAAGGAAGATGTGTAATCCTGGCAAGAGCAAGATTGAAAAGCAGGAATTAAGTGGGTCTTGTGGTATGGGTAGTGTTAGCCTTCCAACACTTGTTACAGGAAACCTTCATACGTTTTCTTGTCACCATTGCAAGAGCTCCTTCCTGTTTTCTTATTCATGTGGTAAAGTCGGTTCAGAGTAATCGTGTTCAGATTAGTGTCTGTCTTCATAATTTGTGGTTCAGATAATTTCCCCCTGTCACCAATGTCACATGAGGAGTGTTGCTTCAAAGTAGCTGCATACCCAACAGCAAATTACACGAGTGACTGTCCATCGCTGAATTTACTGTGCCTTCTTTCTTTGCTTCCGTTTTCTCAATTCCCTGCCTTATTTATAAAATGGTAATTTCCCCTGTAATTGGTTAGCTTTATTTTACAGACAATGCGACTGACACCAGAGGGTTGATTTTGTTGAGAATGTGCTGTGTGATTGAGGTTTGGATTAGATAAGTAAACCTTCTGGGCTCAGTCTTAGGTTTTGCCAAAAGTAACCTTCTCATTTTCCATGCCCAGAAATAACTGAAGCTGTGAAACAGTGTTGTAAGGTTGTAAAAGCTCAGTATTTGTATGCCAAAAATCTAAGTCAGTCCAAATGTCTTCAGAAGGAAAACAATCAAGTGTAGTGTTACTTTTGGAAGTCTGTTCTTAAATAACTTGTGTCATAAAAGGTAACATTTCAGTATTGCTATTGTATAATTTGTCATTTTCTTAGTAGAACTGAAAGTATAAATATTAATTAGCAGTTGGGTGATCTGTTGATCAGAAGTTCAAAGAAAAAGAAAGTTGCTGGAGACTTAAGCAGTTACTGTAGTGCATGTAAGTGAGCAGGTACTCCTAATCTGTATTTGTACCTACTGCAGATGTAGCAGCTGTGTACTAGTACAGCACTCAGCTTTTATTTGATGCAGTAATACCCAGAAGCAAACAGAATCTACAGGCTGTGTTGAGTTTGCCTCTGTATTACATCTATTATTTTACTGTTTGAGTATTTTAGTTCTTGTGAAGGATATAGACTTTCAGGTAGTAATTCTTGCATTTGTAGAAGATGACATTCATTATTAGGATATTTACGTAAGAAGTTTCTGCTGCAACTCTTAAGAAGTCTACTGCAATTAGTTGAACTTGCTGCACTTCTTAGGTCTTCTGTGACGCTTCTGGTTTTGGCAATGGTGCTGTTACATAACAGCGCTTTGGCATTTAATAAAGTTACATTTTAGCCTTATCCTTTGTAACTTGTTTACTTGTAGCTGTCCCAAAGTAGGCTTCATTTTTAAAATTGAAAAACGGCTTTAAAAAAATTAACTTCTTGTAATTAAGGGGCAACCACCCTCACTTAAACCAGTGCAACTGGCAGGGAGTTAGAGCTACCATTTAAAATGGGTTGTTTTGTTAGAGAATAAGCAATATTTTTTTCCTCTTGAAATGGACAGAGTGAGAGAATCTACAGAAAACACCTCTCTTCCCTCCTGTCACACACCCTCTAATTTTTTTTTGGCAATAAAAGTTTACTATCTTTTACTCCAAAGCCTTCAACTCTTGTTCTTTATCAGTGTTTGCACGCAGAAAAAGTTTGCTAACCCCCTCCTATCTTCCTTGTTTGCAGGTCTATAACCTAGAGGTCCTCAGACTCCAGCTACTCTTGTCTTGTGTATCCAGCTTATGCCCAAAGTTGTTTACCTTGACACTAAAGAAAGGAGTGAACAAGCTTAATCTGTTGCACGGGGAACAAACTGCTATCCAGTTTTCTTTTTCACGCCTTAGATCTGCCTTCTGTCTTGTGGAGACTTTTCCAGACTCTCGCTTCTCAAAGTATTCCACCTGGTGGCAAAATTAGGGAAATAGTTAATGGAAATGGTTTACACAGGCATAGATCAAGTAGCGTAAGAACCTGTAATACAAGTCCTAATTTATTCCTGTTCCATATTTTATAGTAGAGGGAGAGAAATTAGAAGATATCTGTGGGCCTCAAAGAAGTTTTGTGTTTCTGGTTTTTGTATTTATAGCAAAGTAGATTTGGCCTTTAATGCTTTATATTCCTATTCACTAAAGATAAATAAAATGTGATACTTTGGTAATAGGAATGGAGGAGCATTCTAACAGTGAGAAGACAGCACTGTGCATTTAGTACTTTGTTCTGTTTCATGAAAATTCTTACTTCTGTGTGTACCAGTTGAAGAGAAATTGGAACAGACTGTTGTACTTCCAAGTAAGGTAGGCATCCAGATATCTCCTGGAATATTTGACTGCTTGTTTGAGAACAAATAAAACCAGGGAATGTCAGGAGTCATCTGGAAAATGGTCTACTATTTCTAGGTAGGAAGAACTCCTTTCTTCCTAGGAGAAGGAAGAAGTTCATTGAACAGCAGTGGTTTTTCAGTCTTGCAGTAAGGGAATTGAGTGGGTTCAATATTAAGGGGAGCTAACCTCTAGTGCTTCCTCCCATTGATGAAAAATCTGCTATTAGCCTC